AAAAATAATGTAGATCAACGTATCTATGAAAATCTTGAAAATTGACGGTCCAAAAATACGTTACAAAATACACTATTTTCAAAACCTGAAACCCTTTTATTTTTTTTTCCTCATGTTCATACATCTTGATGTTGAGATAATCAATTTGAGGTTATTTGAACATCAAAACAACCTCATCTAGTGAAAATTTTGAGATAGGCTCTAATTTATTGTTTTGAGCCTTAGCTCTTGTTTTGAAAAATGAAAAGTATAAAAAGTTAAGTTACATTTGGGAAGAAGGAATGATCCCATGTGGCACGTGCCAAACTGGGTCAGTTGGTGGGGCACGTGGTCACAAGACTGAACCTAATAACTTTTCATCTGCATTATATAAGCAGTGAAAAGGTATTGGAGTTCGTTTTTGTGCTTGAATCAATTGGTGGGGCATATAGCTTGCTCTGTCATTGTGCGCCTGTCAAGCTGTGTGTGGAGAGAAACCATGAGAGAGGACTAGAAAGATTTTGGAGAGAGAGAGAGTGAAATATTATGTGTCAGTAGGGGTCGCAATGGGTCAGGTACGGCAGGACCCGGACTCACACTTAGACCGGAATAACATTCAAGTTCAAAATTTGGATCTATTGCCAGACCCATCGGGTCTCGGGTTTGCCTGTCGGGGTCTTGGGTCTAATCAGATTCATTGCCACCCTATGAGTGTGCTTTTTTTTTTCCTTCTTTAACCATCATATACCCTATTCCTATTAGCTTCTTATTTTTGCCAATAACACTATAAGTGTTGCTTAAGTAGTGCCTAATATACCTCATGACTACTGGTATGGGTTGGGTTCGACTGGACCCGGACTTGGACCCAAATCCAAATGATATTTAAGTCCCAAATTTAGACCTCTGGACCCAAAGTCAGTACAACGGTTGGATCCGGGGTCTAATCGGGTTCATTGCCATCCCTACGTGTCAGTAAGCATTAAGAGAGTGCAAAACTAGAGATAGAGAGAGGGAGGGAGAGAGAGATCTTGTGCTTGAGATAGAGTGTAAAACATGAGAGAGATTGTGAATGTGCATGAGAGAGAGAGAGAGCATCTTTGGTGTATCTGAGTGCATGAGAGACAAAGGGAGTTGGAGAGTGATGTTGTACTTGCGCGTGTGTGAAAAGATGACTTTGAGAGAATGTGGTGGTTCAGTTTTGAGAGCAGCCATCGGCAGCTTTTATCTCCAAGGACTTGCACTGCTTCAGAGTTCAGGGCACTAACTTATGTATTACAATTATGAAGAGCTTTTCTTGCAGCATATACTCAAAGAAATATATATATATATATATATAGAGGAAAAATGTTCTCTACATGGGCATACTGCTACAGTAAATGCCTACGCCCATGATTGAATCTTAGCCGATCTAACGATCACGAATGTCTAGCAGTATTTGAATTTTAATTTTTTTTTTACCAATCCAAATTACTTTAAAATTTAGGCACGTGTTCTTAAAAAGTAAGCGAATCTACGAAAAATATCAAAACAGTATTTTATACGAAATAAATTGACCAAAATACCCTGAAAATGTTTTAGGGGTATTTTGATCAATTTTTTTTCAAAAATTATTATTTTTCTATTTTTATTAGGTGTGTCTTGATGAGAAGAACACACGCCTAAAAATTTTAAATGATTTGGATTTATAGAAAAAACAAAGTAAAATTATTCAAACACGAAATGAGGTATGTCAGATCGGCCCAAATTCAATCTGGGCCGTTGGCATTTTACTGTAGT